TCCCATTACTCTGGCTTTGCTTTTTCAACTTCATTTTTCTCTGTCTGCTCCTATTTTTTTGAGAGGGAGTTTTGCTCTCGTTGCCCAGGCTGGAATGCAAAGATGTGATTTGGACACAATACAACATCCACCCCCACTGGGGTTGAAGCAATTCTCCTGCCTCAGCCTCCTGAGTGGCTGGGATCATAGGCACCTGCCACCATGCTCGGCTAATGTCTGTCTGCTCCTTAACTATTGCTTTCCACTCTCTCCCTGAGTGATCTCACCCTGTTGCACTGGTTTCAGCTATCACCCTCTTATAGATACCTCCAAAACTTTCCCCCCAGGTTACAGTTGCCTTTTTTCATCTGCTTACAAAATAAATAATGTACAATTTTGGTCACATGAATATATATGTGGTCTGCCTAAGCCCTGCTTTGTAACTCTGTAGGTAACTGCTTTGTAGAGGATGTTTCCAAACTGGCATCATTCTAGCTAATAAGACAAATTTGCTACAGGGCAGAGGGAAATGTGTCATCGCTAAAGAGGTGTGAACACTGACTGGTGGGGTGATGTCAGTAAAGCCAACCTACTCACCTGTGGAAACAACTGACAGACAGTCTGCCCTTGTGTGCTCTCCTGATTTATAAAACACATGCTTTGAATTTGCTGAGGCTTCCGCTCATCTTCTCTGAGGCACCCTGACTCAAGGCTTCAGTTGCCCTCTGCTTACTTCTATGTGGGCATAGAGCATCCCCCAGCTGAGACGGCATGGCAGGAAACCAACAAATTAATGCACTTGAAGGTCACTGTGGCGATGTCAGAAAGTCAGACTGCAGTGAACAGCTTGGTGGGTCTGATTCTCAGGCAGGGATGCTTCTAAGGTGACTACTGTGGAAGATAAAGAGGAAGAATAGAGAAAGAAAGGGAGAAAGAGAAGAAAAGAGGCAGGGAGAAAAAGATGCCAAAAAATAGTTGCTAAACACTGTGCGATTTATTTTCACAGTTGTAGTTTATTTGATCCTCACAGACAGCCTGGTAAGGTATGTTTTTGTTTTGTTTTGTTTTGGGGGTTTTTTTGTTTGTTTGTTTGTTTGTTGAGATGGAGTCTTGCTCTGTTACCCTGGCTGGAGTGCAATGGCATGATCTTGGCTCACTGCAATCTCCTCCTCCTGGGTTCAAGTGATTCTACTGTCTCAGCCTCCCAAGTAGCTGGGATTACAGGCACCCACCACAGTGCCTGGCTAATTTTTATATTTTAGTAGAGATGGGGTTTCACTGAGTTGCCCAGGCTGGTCTCGAACTCCTGAGCTCAGGAAATCCACCCACCTCAGCCTCCCAAAGTACTAGGATTATAAGCATGAGCCACGGCACCCAGCCCAAGGTAAGTATTTTTTATATTTTAATTTGTATAGGCTCAGAAGCATGAAACAGGTCTCCTGAACTAAAAAAATGAAAACTAGTAAATTTGTTCAGCAAGTTGGGAATCACTCATTGTTGCTTTCTTTTGAATTTGATGTTCTTTCAACTATACAACAAAGCCTTCATCATTGCTTTGGTGAATTAGCCAGAACTTTTGAGTCATTCTGGGTTCTGTCACTCTCATGAGGACTCAGCTACCATTGAGTCCTCTGTGCTTTTTTCTTTGCACAACTTGTCCTAAACCTGTACGTTTAAGTTAAATCAACACAGCCAGAAACCCAAACCAAATACCTGAGAGCAAATACATGTAAGCCTGGGACCCATCAGCTTAACAGAGACAGTCTCCTCTGTCCTATCCTCCTAAAATCCTCCCATTTTATTACAATTCTTTTTTCTTTCTGGTCTAGATTTCTCAACCTGATTTGGCTCAGCTCATATTCTTGGACATGTGAGCTGATTTTTACTGGCTTTAACTCAATACTAATTAAGAATTTGCCTCCTGGGCCATGCTTTGATCTTCCTGGACTTACTTCAGGTCCTTGAATGCTTTATGACCCTACATGAAAGCAAAATTCTCATACTTGTCTACCTGGCTGGCACTCAGATGCTCCAACATTGAAACCGTCTAGTGCAGGGGAGAGTTCAGAGAGGACAAGGGGAGGAGAATCCAATTATAGAACAGCCTTTGGGTACTCCAGCACTGGCTCTCATAAGCAGATTGTACTTACCCTCTAGCAGGAATGTTATATTGAGAATTTGAAGGAAAGCTTGTCTAGCAAGAACTACCTGCTCTAGTCATCCTTAATGGTCTATATTGGGCAAGCGGTCATTCCACCAAATTCAGGTATGTAGGGCAAATTCCTTTCTCTTCAACTCAATAAGTCATTCTATCATGGGGGTACTCCAAAAGGTTTTGTACAAACGTACATTAGCATATAGTAATCACTTCCCAACAGTAAGTTTCTGTGATGAGTCATTCCAATAAATGTACCTGTACTTGTGGATTTTTTTTCCCCATAGTACCCAGAATTTTGCTGCCATTACCCATGCACTGTGAATTCTTGGAGAGGTTTACGTTTTCATAATCACCTCCAGCCATGACTTCCAAACATTGCCGAATCATTCTCTGCTCCATGCTTGCTGTTATTTCTTATTATTCACATCTTGGCACTGATGGAACATAGCTCCAACCCCTTTCTATTATATTTACAGAGAAACAAATTACTTAAAGTCTTTACTGCAGTTCTAAGCAGATAAAAGGAGCTTATAGTCAGCACCAGATGCACCATAAGACTGGACATAAAAATTTCTTAAGATTCTCATGGAAACTGTCTGCACATGGCTTGTCCACCTCTTTCAAAAAATCTCTCTTTTTTTAAATTATACTTTAAGTTCTGGAGTATATGTGCAGATCTTGCAGGATTGTTGCATAGGTACACACATGCCATGGTGGTTTGCTGCCACCAACCCCCGTCACCTACATCAGGCATTTCTCCCAATGTTATTCCTTCCCAACCTCCCCACCCCTGCTATCCCTCCTCTAGCTCCCACCCCCAACAGACCCCAGTGTGTGATGTTCCCCTTAGTGTGTCCATGTGTTCTCATCATTCAACTCCCACCTATGAGTGAGAACATGTGGTGTTTGGTTTTCTGTTCTTGGGTCAGTTTCCTAAGAATGATGGTTTCCAGCTTTATCTATGTCCCTGCAAAGGACATGAACTCATCCTTTTCTGTGGCTGCATAGTATTCCATGGCATATATGTGGCACATTTTCTTTGTCCAGTCTATCATTGATGGACATTTAGGTTGGTTCCAAGTCTTTGTTATTGTGAACAGTGCTGTAAACATACGTGTGCATGTGTTTTTATAACAGAATGATTATAATCCTTTGGGTATATGCCTAGTAACGGGATTGCTGGGCCACATTGCTGGCATTTCTAGTTCAAGATCCTTGAGGAATCGCCACACTGTCTTCCACAATGGTTGAACTCATTTACACTCCCACCAACAGTGTAAAAGTGTTCCTATTTCTCTACATCCTCTCCAGCATCTGTTGTCTCCTGATTTTTCAGTGATAGCCATTCTAACTGGCGTGAAATGTTATCTCAATGTGGCATTTCTCTAATGACCAGTGATGATGAGCCTTTTTTTTTCATATGTTTGTTGGCTGCATAAATGTCTTCTCACACCAAAGCGCCTGCGGTTTGGGTGAAGCAGCCTGAAACAAGTCAAGGTGCCACTGCCTGGGGCCCAGCTCAGAGGCTACCAGGGATGCCCCAGTCTGGTTCCCTGGAGTTCATAGCATCCTGTTACCTGGATCTGCACATGGGGGTGCCTTTCTGCATCTCGCCATCAGGTAAGTGCTCCTCCAAGCCCCCTCCTGCTGGCCTGGAGACAGCGGCCTGAAGCACACCCCTACTGCACTCCAGCAGAGCCCTCCAGACCAGAAGCCCCACAGCGGTTAGCCCTGGCTTGGACACTGGGCCTGCGGCACCAGAGCGGGAGCTGGCCGCCCAGCTCCAATCCTGTGGCTCCAGAGTGCACCGTCGCCAATAGCCATGTGGGTGCAGACGGGTGGCAAAAGTGCCTCGGGCAGGGTCTGGGCTCGGTGAGCTGCTTGTGCTCGCGATATTGAGGCCATTTGCAGCAAGCTCCTGACAGCCCGAGCTCCAAGCTGCAGCCAGCAGCCACCTGCACCAGCACCGCCCAGATTGTCTTGGGGGCTTTCTTCAGAGGAGGCTGTCAGCATCCTCAAGTTGCAGGGGCTCTAGACCCAGCACTGCTTCAAGAGGCTTTTTCTCAGGGGCGGCCTTCTCTTCTCAATGGCCTGAAACCTCCATCAATTCCCACGAAATTTACGGGGAACACAAGGCTGTCACTAACATTGGTGGCGCCAGGACTGGCGCGCGTGGGTTGCACACGTCGGTCACTGAGCCACGTGCAGTGATGCCACCTGAGGTGCGCACACCGCACGTTGTGGCTCACCTGTGGAGGCTGGGACACGCACATGCTGCACGCTGTGGCTCACCTGCGGAGGCTGGGACACGCGCACACTGCACGTTGTGGCTCACCTGTGGAGCCTGGGACACGCGCACACTGCACGCTGTGGCTCACCTGTGGAGGCTGGGACACGCGCACACCACACACTGTGGCTCGCCTGTAGAAGTGTGGCCTCGAGCACACCGCACGTGCCTAACGGCTTGGCTTGCCTGTCGCGGTGGCTTGGCTTTGCTGTTCCTGGCTTAGCGTAGTGTTCCTCGCTTGGCTTCATATTCCTAGCTTTGACTGACGTTTCCTCCCTCACATTCCTTTGCTGGGCTTGACCTTTTATCTGCTGAGCTTGGCATTCCCCTGGCTGGGCTGGGTGCTTCCTTGGGTTGGAGTGGGCTCTCCCTGGGTGGGCGTGGGCTTTCCCTGGGTGGGCTGGGCTGGGCTGGGCTCCCCTCCTGGGGTGGGCAGGTTTGGGCTAGGATTGACCTTTCTCTTCAAACAGGTTGGAAACCCGGAGTTTCCTGCTAGTTGGTCAAGCTGGTTGGTAGAGGCGATCTGCCCGCTACTACTGGCCTCCCCTGGCTGTTAAAAGCAGACGGTGGCTGAGGTTTGTTCAAAGCCGGCTGCCTCCGCTATGAAGAAGCCCTTTGGTCTCAGGAGCAAGATGGGCAAATGGTGCTGCCACTGCTTCTCCTGCTGCAGGGGGAGCGGCAAGAGCAACGTGGGCACTTGGGCAGACTATGACGACAGTGCCTTCGAGGAGCCAAGGTACCAGGTCCGGCGAGAAGACCTGGACAAGCTCCACAGAGCCGCCTGGTGGGGTAAAGTCCCCAGAGCCGATCTCATCGTCATGCTCAGGAGCACTGATGTGAACGAGACGGACAAGGAAAAAGGTAACTGGGCCTCGCTGAGAGGAGGCGGGATGGTGGGGATGTGCCCTACTGGTGTGGGGGCGGTGGCGGGGTGCCTGGCTTTATCGTCTCTGCAGGCCCCACACCATCCTGGCTGTGGAAACCTCAGAGGGGTCAGGGCACAGGCCTCTTTATGAGCAGCAACGTGAAAACAAAACTTTAACTGATTTCCAATCAAATTATAATTTCCCTCGGAGAACATTAATAGACTGTCTTAAAGTGATGTACCTCGCAAAACTAAATCGTTGCAGTGGATTATTTTTAATGTACACATTTTAAAACAATGTCATATACATTATAGAAAGGTATATATTGAGAACTAAGTTCCATAGTATATCAACTTCTGGCTAAATATTCTTCAAATAAAATTCAATATGTGTTTCATATCAATGTATCCTATGTAAATATGTTATTTACTGAGAAACCTTAGAAGGAAAATAAATGGGAAGATGGTTTGTGTCTTTGAATAGGAAGACTCATTTCTCTTAAGATATGAGCTCTTTCTGCGGGTGTTGAACAATGAGAACACATGGACACGGGGAGGGGAGCACTACACACTGGGGTCCGTTGGGGGGAAATGGGGGCGGGACGGGGGTTGGGAAGGTGGGGAGAGATAGCATGGGGAGAAATGACAGATACAGGTGAGCGGAAGGAAGGCAGCAAACCACACTGCCATGTGTGTACCTATGCAACAGTCTTGCATGTTCTTCACATGTATCCCAAAACTTAAATTGAATTAAAAAATTAAAGAAAAAGGAGAATGCTGGGAAGATGGCCGCCTAAGAACAACTCAGGACTTCAGCTCCTAGTGAAAGTGCAGAGGAGACAGACAACAGGTGGATAAACCCACAAAAATGGGAAGAAACCAGCGCAAAAAGGATGAAAACTCCCGAAACCAGAACACCTCTCCTCCTAAAAGGGATCACAACTCCTCACCAGCAAGGGACCCAGACCGGATGGAGAAGGAGGGTGATGAAATGACAGAATCAGACTTCAGAAGGTGGGTAGTAAGAAACTACAATGAGCTAAAAGAACATGTTCTAACCCAACGCAAAGAAAATAGGAACCTTGAAAAAAGATTGGACGAACTGCTGACGAGAATGGACAGCATAGAGAGGAGTATAAGTGAATTGATGCAGCTGAAAAATGCAACACGAGAACTTCGTGAAGCATGCACAAGCTTCAACAGCCGAATTGACCAAGTAGAAGAAAGGATATCAGAGGTCGAAGATCAACTCAATGAAATAAAAAGAGAAGGCAAGAACAGAGAAAAAAGCACAAAAAGGAATGAACAAAATCTTCAAGAAATGTGGGACTATGTGAAAAGACCTAATCTACGTCTGATAGGTGTACCCGAATGTGATGAAGAGAATGAATCCAAGCTGGAAAATACTCTTCAGGATATTATCCAGGAAAACTTCCCCAACCTAGCAAGGCAGACCAATATTCAAATCCAGGAAATACAGAGAACACCACAAAGATATTCCTCAAGAAGAGCAACCCCAAGGCACATAATCGTCAGATTCACCAGGGTTGAAATGAAAGAGAAAATGCTAAGGGCAGCCAGAGAGAAAGGTCGGGTTACCCACAAAGGGAAGCCCATTAGACTCACAGCAGATCTCTCAGCAGAAACCCTACAAGCCAGAAGAGATTGGGGGCCAATATTCAACATCCTTAAAGAAAAGAACATTTAACCCAGAATCTCCTATCCAGCCAAACTAAGCTTCATAAGTGAAGGAAAAATAAAAACCTTTGTGAACAAGCAAGCACTCAGAGATTTCATCACCATCAAACCTGCTCTACAAGAACTCCTGAAAGAGGCTCTACACATATAAAGGAACAACCAGTACCAGCTACTCCAAAAACACACCAAATGGTGAAAGAGCATCAACACAATCAAGAATCTGCATCAACTAACCAACAAAACAGCCAGGTAGCATCAAAATGACAGTATCAAATTCACACATAACAATACTATCCCTAAATGTCAATGGACTAAATGCCCCAATCAAAAGACACAGACTGGCAAATTGGATAAAAAGCCAAAACCCATCAGTGTGCTGTATCCAGGAAACCCATCTTACATGCAAGGATACACAAAGGCTCAAAATAAAGGGATGGAGGAAGATCTACCAAGCAAATGGAGAGCAAAAAAGGGCAGGAGTTGCAATTCTCATCTCTGATAAAATAGACTTTAAAGCAACAAAAATCAAAAGAGACAAAGAAGGGCATTACATAATGGTAAAAGGATCACTGCAACAAGAAGAGCTAACGATCCTAAATATATACGCACCCAATACAGGAGCACCCAGATACATAAGGCAAGTTCTTAATGACTTACAAAGAGACTTCGACTCCCACACAATAATAGTGGGAGACTTTAACACCCCATTGTCAATATTAGACAGATCATCCAGACAGAAAATCAACAAGGATATCCAGGACCTGAATACAGACCTGGAACAAGCAAACCTAATAGACATTTACAGAACTCTCCACCCCAAATCCACAGAATATACATTCTTCTCAGCACCACATCACACCTACTCTAAAATTGACCACATAATTGGCAATAAATCACTCCTCAGCAAATGCAAAAGAACAGAAATCATAACAAACAGTCTCTCAGACCACAGTGCAATCGAGTTAGAACTCAGAATGCAGAAACTAACTCAGAACCACACAGCTTCATGGAAACTGAACAACTTGCTCTTAATGTTGACTGGATAAACAATGAAATGAAGGCAGAAATAAAGATGTTGTTCGAAACCAATGAGAATGAAGACACAACATACCAGAATCTCTGGGACACATTTAAAGCAGTCTCTAGAGGAAAATATATAGCAATGAGTGCCCACATGAGAAGAAAGGAGAGATCTAAAATTGACACCCTATCATCAAAATTGAAAGAGCTAGAGGAGCAAGATCAAAAAAACTCAAAACCTAGCAGAAGACAGGAAATAACTAAGATCAGAGCAGAACTGAAGGAAATAGAGACACAAAAAACTCTTCAAAAAATCAATAAATCCAGGAGCTGGTTTTTTGAAAAGATCAACAAAATAGACAGACCACTATCCAGATTAATAAAAAAGAAAAGAGAGAATAACCAAATTGATGCAATAAAAAACGATAAAGGGAATATCACCACAGATTCCACAGAAATCCAAACCATCATCAGAGATTATTACAAACAACTCTATGCACATAAACCAGTAAACCTGGAAGAAATGGATAAATTCCTGGACACCTGCATCCTCCCAAGCCTAAACCTGGAAGAAGCCGAAACCCTGAATAGACCAATAATATGGTCTGAGGTCGAGTCCGCAATAAAGAGCCTACCACCCAAAAAAAGCCCAGGTCCAGATGGGTTCACAGCTGAATTCTACCAGACATACAAAGAGGAGCTGATACCATTCCTTCTGAAACTATTCCAGACAATCCAAAAAGAGAGAATTCTTCCCAAATCATTTTACGAGACAAACATCATCCTGATACCAAAACCCAGCAGAGACTCAACAAGAAAAGAAAATTTCAGGCCAATATCCATGATGAACATAGATGCAAAAATCTTCAATAAAATACTGGCAAACAAATTGCAACAGCATATCAAAAAGCTCATCCACCATGATCAAGTAGGATTCATCCCGGGGATACAAGGCTGGTTCAACATACACAAGTCCATAAACGTAATTCACCACATAAACAGAACCAAAGACAAAAACCACATGATTATCTCGATTGATGCAGAGAAGGCTTTTCACAAAATTCAACAACCCTTTATGCGAAAAACCCTCAATAAACTAGGTACTAACGGAACGTATCTCCAAACAATAAAAGCTATTTACGACAAACCAACAGCCAATATCATACTGAATGGGCAAAAACTGGAAGCATTCCCTTTCAAATCTGGCACTAGACAAGGGTGCCCTCTCTCACCACTCCTATTCAATATAGTACTGGAAGTTCTAGCCAGAGCAATCAGGCAAGAAAAAGAAATAAAGGGTATCCAAATTGGAAAGGAGGAAATCAAATTGTCTCTATTTGCAGATGACATGATTGTATATCTGGAAGACCCCATCATCTCAGCCCAAAATCTCCTGAAACTGATAAACAACTTCAGCAAAGTCTCAGGATACAAAATCAACGTGCAAAAATCACAAGCATTCCTATACACCAGTAATAGACTTCAAGACAGCCAAATCAAGAACGAACTGCCATTCACAATTGCTACAAAGAGAATAAAGTACCTAGGAATACAACTAACAAGGAACGTAAAGGACCTCTTCAAGGAGAACTACAAGCCATTGCTCAACGAAATAAGAGAGGATACAAACAGATGGAGAAACATTCCATGTTCATGGTTAGGAAGAATCAACATCGTAAAAATGGCCATACTGCCCAAAGTAATTTACAGATTCAATGCTATTCCCATCAAGCTACCAATGACCTTCTTCACAGAACTGGAAAAAAACACCTTAAACTTCAAATGGAACCAAAAGAGGGCCCGCATAGCCAAGTCAATTCTAAGCAAAAAGAATAAAGCAGGAGGCATCACACTACCGGACTTCAAACTATACTACAAGGCTACAGTAATCAAAACAGCATGGTACTGGTACCAAAACAGAGATATAGACCAATGGAACAGAACAGAGGTCTCAGAGGAAATACAACATACCCACAACCATCTGATCTTAGACAAACCTGACAAAAACAAGCAATGGGGAAAGGACCCCCTGTTTAATAAATGGTGTTGGGAAAACTGGCTAGCCATGTGCAGAAAGCAGAAACAGGACCCCTTCCTGACACCTTACACCAAAATTAACTCCAGATGGATTAAAGACTTAAACATCAGACCTAATACCATAAAAACCTTAGAAGAAAATCTAGGCAAAACCATTCAGGACATAGGTGTAGGCAAGGACTTCATGACCAAAACGCCAAAAGCAATGGCAACAAAAGCCAAAATAGACAAATGGGACCT